CTGTGCTCCTCACGCTGAGTCTGTTTGAGATAACTGGGCTAGTGCACTCCGCATGTTTGAGGCGACGGCAGAGTCCAGCAGAGTGGAGCGCTACTTCAGCCTTTTGTCGAATTAAAAGCCAAGGGTAGGTTAAAGTTTTATCTGTAGACCTGCAGGTGCTATAAGGCTCTTTTAGTCTCCTAAATCTGGTCTTTGTTCTTAGATCTCAGCTGTTTAAATCACAGATTTAGGTTTCAGTATACCTATAAAAGCAGATGATCGAGAAAGTATGTAGTTCTGCAATCAGGTCTGGCTGCGTCCTGATCTCGTGTTGCGCGACTAAAATGCTTCAAGGAGAAGGGCTCCCGTAACGGTTTGCTTTGTTCCTCTTCCCTAGTGGAACGAGATAATAGAACTTTTTCGTGCTGGGATGCCTTTACGGAAGCATCGGTGTCGCTTCAAAAGCTACGAGCGGTGCTTCAAAGCCTCGGAGGCAGTGGACTGTTTACATGAACTGCTTGGCTCTAATCAAAACTTTGGCCCAGAAGTGACTCGGAATCAAACAGTTAAGCTGCTTAAAAAATTCCTGAAAAATCATGTTATTGAAGATATTAAAGGAAGATGGGGCAAAGAGGACTTTCAAGATGATGGCCATTTATATAGGTAAATTTCTATACAGTGACCAAAAAATTTTAGTTTTTGGAAACAGGTTAATAATACTTATGCATTGCTCTTACAAATGTTGTAGAATGCCTTTGAAAATATGTTAATGTGTCTTCACCCCTTTCCTTTTAAAGACTTTGTTTTCTTTATTGCTAGTTAACTGTCATGATTTAATGTTTGATTTGTGTTTATTTTGTCTTTGTATGGGGGTTTTTTGCTTGTTTGTTCTTAAATACTTTTGAAGGGCACTCTACTCGATTGCTATCTATATTTAGATAATAAAAGCCTTTGCAGCTTTTACAAGGTAGTGAATTCTGTTTGCTGTTAATAGACATCAGGTTTATCAGTGCTGGAAGCTTGAGTATCAGGAAGGTGGAGGTAAGAATGCCATCAAGCTTCCAGCCTCAGTTATCCTTCCTCTCCCCCAACTCCCTGACTATTTTGGATGCTACTCCACTGCTTCT